CTGACAGGACTCCTACAGAGAGGGGCCAGGTATCAGGGAGGATGGGAGGAAGGAGGAGGCTGGGAACTCTAAGGAAAGGAAGTGGTGGGAAGGAGTTGAGGTGCATGTACACCAATGCTAGGAGCATGGGTAATAAGCAGGAAGAGCTTGAAGCGCTCCTGGGAATAGGAGGGTATGACCTGGTGGGAATCACAGAAACTTGGTGGGATGAAAGGCAAGTCTGGAATGTGAACATAGAAGGGTATCACCTTTTTAGAAAGGACAGGAAGGGAAAGAGAGGTGGGGGCGTGGCTTTATACGTCAGGGAAGGGATAGGATGCAGTGAGATAGAATGCAGCACAGATGGGGATTTGGTAGAGGCAGTCTGGGTGAAACTTAGGGGTTTTGACAGGGAAAGAGACCTGACAGTGGGGGTATGTTATCGCCCTCCAGGTCGACTTGAGACCCTGGATGATGTCCTGACAGGCCAGATTCTAAGGGTATCTCAGGGGAGAGACACAGTAATTATGGGAGATTTCAGTCTCCCGGATATTAGTTGGGAGACTCACTCCGCGGTGACAGCCAGGTCACGTCGCTTCCTAGAAGCTATAGAGGGAGGGTTTTTCACACAGAGGGTCCGAGAGGCGACGAGGGGGGAAAACATTCTTGACTTGGTCTTGACCAATAGGGAGGAGCTGATAGATGAAGTACAGATTAGGGGAGCTCTGGATGCGAGAGATCACTCCATCCTTTGCTTTGAGATCAGGGGACTGGGGACGTGCAGCAGGTCGAGCACTAGAAGCTGGGACTTCAAGAGGGCCAACTTTGGCCAACTGAAGGCCAGACTGGGGAAAGTCTCCTGGGATAGGTTACTGGAAGGTAAGTGAGTTGAGGAGGGGTGGATAGCACTCAAAAGGGAGGTTTTGGAGGCACAAGCCTTGGCAATTCCTCTAGTCAGTAAGGTGGGGAGGCGGAGGAGAGTGCTGCCATGGATGTGAAAGGAGGTGGTTAGAGGGATTAGACAAAAGAGGAACCTCCGTAGGAAATGGGTACTGGGGCAAATAGACAAAAGGGTATACTGGGAGGAGGAGGAGGCCCGTTGCAGAAGGATTCTTCGCAAGGTTAAGACTGATTACGAGCTGAGACTTGCCAAGAATATCAAGAGCAACAAAAATGGCTTCTTTCAGCATGTAAATAGAAAGAGGAAGGGGAGAGAAGTGGTGGGACCACTAAATAAGGAGGAAGGAGATCCAGTGACTGATACGAGGGAACAGGCACAGATGCTAAACGACTATTTTGCCTCTGTGTTCTCCCCAAAGCAGGGCAGGGAATATCTGCATAGGAGATTAGATGAGGCTGGGGACTTAGGGGCACAGATTAGAGTCACCCCCCCTTGAAGTTGAGGGGCTCCTCATAGCATTGGACATTACAAAGGCGCCAGGCCCTGACGGGTTACACCCGAGAGTACTTAGAGAGTTGGCAGGGGTTCTCTCACACCCGCTGGCCTCCATTTTTGAGACCTTGTGGAGAATGGGTGAAGTTCCAGAGGACTGGAGGGTGGCATCAGTGTCCCAATTTTCAAAAAGGGTAGTAGAAGGGACATGGGGAATTATAGACCTGTTAGCCTTACTTCCATTGTAGGAAAAACAATGGAAAGGCTCATAATAGAGATCTAGTGATGCTAGATAGGGAAGGGAGGCTGACAGCCACACAACACGGCTTCCACAAAAACAGGTCCTGCCAGACAAACCTTGTGGAATTCTATGACAAGGTTTTGAGATGGCTAGATGGAGGGGATGCAGTGGATGTGGTATACCTGGATTTCAGCAAGGCCTTTGACAAAGTGCCCTATGATATCCTGGTGGAGAAACTGAGGGGTTTTGGGATACACCAAAGCATTGTCCGCTGGATTAGGGCATGGTTGACTGACCGAAAGCAGAAGGTAACCATTAGTGGGGAATCATCAGGATGGCGGCCAGTGTCAAGCGGGGTCCCCCAGGGCTCTGTCCTGGGGCCGATCCTGTTTAATCTTTTCATTAACGACATGGAAGAAGGGGTGAACAGTCTGCTGATCAAATTAGCAGACGACACTAAAACTGGAGCAGTGTCCACAACGGAGGAGCAGGTACTTCAGATCCAAAAGCATCTGGACAGACTATGGAAGTGGGCAGGAGACAACAGGATGGCGTTCAGTGTGCATAAGTGCAAGGTCTTGCACTTGGGGCATAGGAATAGCTGTCATAAGTACAGGTTAGGTGACAAGTGGCTGGAGAGCAGCACCTGTGAAAGGGACCTCGGGGTGCTGGTTGACTGCAGGCTAAACATGAGTCAGCATTGTGATGCGGTGGTCAAGAGAGCAAACGCCACCCTTGGTAGCATAGCCAGAAGTGTGGCTTCTAGATCGAGAGAGGTATTACTGCCACTCTACACGACTCTGGTGCGCCCGCAACTGGAGTATTGTGCTCAGTTTTGGGTCCCACATTACAGAAAGGATATAGCCAGGTTAGAGTCACTGCAGCGTAGGGCCACAAGTTTGGTGGCCGGTTTGCAGGGGATGCCGTATGAGGTGAGACTGAGGGAACTGGGTCTCTTCAGCCTGGAGAAGAGGAGACTTAGAGGGGATATGTTGGCGACATACAGGTATGTGAGGGGATGTCACATGGAGATGGGTAGAGACCTGTTCTCCCCTGCAGAGGAAGGCGGGATGCGCTCCAATGGAGCAAAGCTTAGGGAGCCAAGGTTCCATTTGGATGCCAGGAAACACTTCCTGACAGTTAGGACCCCAAGGGTGTGGAATGGGCTTCCACGAGAGGTCGTTGAGGCCCCATCGGTGCGAGTGTTCAAGGATAGGCTGAACGTCCACATGGTGGGCATGTCGTGAGCAGAGCCGGCTGGTGCCATAGGTCAGACTAGATGGCCCGGGAGGCCCCTTCTGACTTGCTCTGTTTCTATGTTTCTAAGTACAAGCTGAAGGAACAGGATGGCAGCTCAAGATTTGATAGGCCAATGATCAAGGATCATCTAATTGGGTTGAATTAGTTCAAAATTCCTGGGTCTGATGAACTCCATGCTAGAGTCATAAAGGAAATGGCAGAAGAACTCTCAGGACCACTGTCTATTCTGTTTGAGAAATCATGAATGACAAGGGAAGTGTCAGATGACTGGAGAAGGGTTAATGTTGTCCCTATCTTTAAAAAAGGGGGAACAAGAAGAACCTGGGACCTACAGACTAGTCAGTTTGGCATCAATCCCTGGGAAAATTCTGCAGCAGATTATAAAGCAGTCAGTCTGCAAACACCTTGAAAACAAGGCAATTACTAGAAGTCAAAATGGATTTCTTAAGAACAAATCCTACCAGACTAATCGGATTTCATGCTTTGATTGGGTAATGTCCCTGATGGACTGTGGGAATGCTGTAGACATAATCCATCCAACTCCAGCAAAGCTTTTGACAGAGTGCCCCATGAGATCCTGACTAGGAAACTAGCTAAAAGTGGGCTAGATGGAACAATCATCAGGTGGATCCACAGTTGGCTACCAAATTGGACTCAAACAATGCTCATCAATGGCACCTTCTCAAACTGTGGAGAGGAAACAAGTGGGGTACCACAAGATTAAGTCCTGGGCCCAGTGCTTGCCAACATTTCTGTTAATTATTTGGATGAGGAAGTACAGGGATTTATGATCAGTTTTGCAGATAACCCAAAACTGGGTGTTATAGATGATACCTTGGAAGACAGAAAGAAGATTCAAGGTGACCTTGATAGGATGGAGTGCTAGGCTGAAAACAACAGAATGAAATTCAGTAGGTATGCATGCCAAGTTCTGCACCTAGGAAAAAGAAACCAAATGCATCGATACAAAATGGCAAATAAATGGTTCAAAAATACTGCAAGCAATCTTGGAATTGTTGTAGATTACAGACTGAATACGAGTCAACAGTGTCATATGACTGCAAAAAGGGTAAATGCTCCTTTAGGCTGCATTAATAGAAGTATCACTTCCAAATCATATGAAGTACTACCTTTACTCAGAACTGATTAGGCCTCAACTGGAGTACTGTGTCCAGTTCTGGGCACTAGTTTTAAGAAAGATGCAGACAAGCTGGAAATCGTTCAGAGGAGGGCAACAGGGATGATCCAGAGACTGTAAACAAGCCCTATGAGGAAAGATTGAAAGAACTAGGCATGTCTAGCCTCAAGAAGAGAAGACTGAGGGGAGATATGGTAGCATTCTTCAGGTACTCTTGTGAAAGGTTGTCACAAAGAGAAAGGTCAGAATCTCTTCTCGATCATCCCAAAGTGCAGGACACAGAATACTGGGGTCAAATTACAGGAAGCCAAGTTCTGGCTGAACATCAGGAAGAACTTCCTGACTGTTAGAGCAGTACAACAATGGAACCAATGACCTAGGGAGGTTGTGGGCTCTCCCACATTAGAGGAATTTCAGATGCAACTGGACAGCCAGCTAAGAGGGATGGTTTAACATGGAATTCTGCACTAAGCAGGGGATTGGACCCAATGGTCCTCTGGCCCCTTCTGACTCTACATTCCAAGATTTTCTGACTAGTATTAAAAAGTAATTGGAACTCCTAAGACTTCTGGCAATAAAAGCCCTCTGGATTTGTGGCTCTGGTTTCCTAAACATACCTATACTTATGGTCATCAACTAGTTTTGCTGAGGAGAGGGGGTTACTTCTGCGCATAGAAAGTATAAGCCCTTAGTTTACACTGTTATATTCCTAGGTAGCCCAAAGGCAAATTTCTTCGCTGCAGCCTGTACTCTTTCCACACTCCTATCCTTTGAGTGCTCCCTGTCAAGAGCCCAGAAGTAGGCGAAAAGCTGCTAGTTATTAGTCATATAAAATAATGTAACATTGTAACTGTTCAGATGCTTTCTCTCCTGATTTAGGATATTGTCATTTAGAATAAGTATTCTTTCAAGATTGTTATACAGAACTGGTTAGCTCAATTTTTTCTGTTTCTGCAAACCCTGTTTAATATTTTCTTCTGTGCGCTTCTCAGACTCATATGAGACTTGTCTTATTTTGCAGCGGGTAGACTGCCATGTTGTATCAGTTCCAGAACTGGAATTTTCCTCAGACTTCATCCTGACAATCACAAAGACTTCAGTGTGTACGGTAAATATTTTTACACAAACATTTCTGAGGGTTTGAATTAGTTTTGGATTCCTTGGTCTACTGTGGCAAAGATCAGTTTGCAAGTGAAATCCACTGACAAAGCCATAGTAGAAGTGAATGCTTGATTCCTATAGCCTTAACTGTTCACATGCAAGAGTACTAAGGAAGGGAAAAAATGAAATCCCAAGTGCCACTAGAAAGCCTTTTATTTTTGCCCAGCACTCTTCAGAAATTCTGGTTTCTTTGTCCCTCATATCGAGCAGAAGGCAAGAAGTCTTCCATATTTTACCATTGTGTCTTTTCTCCCATGGCCTTATGCTATTCCTCTTAAGTCTCTCTTGCATACCTTGTATTCTTTACATTGCAAGCTTTTTTAGAATTAGTCTTCTGTGTTAGGGTGTTTTACCATTTCTTCCTTGGCACTTGCTGCAAGCTGATCTACTGTCTGCTTATACATTAAAAAAAAATCATTTTCCTTTTGCACTCTTGGTTTTTCTCTTCCTCCCTATAGAAAAATTTCTGCCTTACCATGAATTTCAGTTCAGTGAAACAGTACTTTTGATGTGTTCAGTACTTTTTCCATCCAGCATTCTTACGTCTTTATATTTTCTGACTGATAGACATACCTGTTTTTTTGTATACTCTTTGTTTCCTCCCCTTACAAATGTAGTGGTGTAAATAAAATATTTGTTTTGCAGTTATCAATTTTTGATTAAAGACTTGCGCTAGTGCACAGAAACCACAACACAAAACTATTTGTCAGGTATTAGGTACTTCATCATAGAAGATTATTGACATCTTATGACCAGAACTTCTACTCCTTTTATGATGGAATATGGTAGCTCAGTTAGAGGCTGAGAAGCCATCCATCACATCGGGCAGCCTAACCTTCCAGTAAATGAACAATAAAGTCTATTATTGTACTGGGGATTTTAAGGATAGTTTAAAGGTATAAGTCTTTGGCCGGGCACATAATTTTTTCTTGAATTCTGTATCTAGATTTTTTGCTCGGCTTAAGCTGTAGGGATAAATAATTGTTTGAAATATAATGTGAACCAAAGAGATTGTGAAGATAGCTCAGTCTGCACTGCAGCCTGGAGCACTTATGATCTCTCCTTCTTCATCCTATACCGCAGTAATCAGGGTCTTCCAGAAAAAGATAACAGTACACTGCAAGCCTGCTACCATGTGGTAGAGAAGGTCGACATTGAAAGAACTTTGACCAAACATAATAATGATGAATGTGTTTGCATGACAACATGTTGCTGTACTAAATTGAGAGGAATCTGCCAGTCTATAGAAGGTGTCTGTCTACTTCTAGGCCAGTCTATCCAAACCTGGTATTGATTTCTGCAGTTTCTTTAGGACCTAAACTTAATGGGGATCAAAATCTTTCATACTACTTAATTCCCTGAGGAACATGACTTTGTTTTAAGAAAAAGAGTGATTTCCCCCTCACCTCTGTTCCACACTACAGAAAAATGGATCCAGTTGCAAGTTAGGTTTGATCAGACCAAATGAACCTTGGATGAATTTAAGCAGTAGTTTCTCATTCATGTTTTAGAATGTATATGGTCACATGTAGGTGTTTTTAGCTACCTTTTCTCAGCTATACATATTTGTTTACTCTTTTATATTTGTAGCTGTTTTTCCTCTGAAACCAACAAGACTGGATGTGTAGAACTGATACACAAGCAGTGATCAGGCTGCATTACCTTTCTAAGATGGAACTATGCATCACGCACCTTTCGACCATTCATGTTCACATTATTGGTCAGCTAAAATTGTACAAGTATAAAGAAACTAATAATAAGAACACATGAGTACAATATACATAAGTATCTGCCTAGAGACAAATAAGATGGTTAGGTCACCTCACTTTTGTGGTTGACATTGCGTGTAACGTTCATGTTTTGAAAAATTTAGTGTCGTGATTAGTGCAGTTGTCATTTTAATGGGGGAGCAGTCCCACATCTAACAACTTCTGAATCTGAGCTATATTTTGTGAGTGGACAGCCATCTGAAAAGGGTGGTTTAACTTGGTGTCTTGCACTGAGCAGCAGCTTGGACCCAGTGGCCTTCTGGCCCCTTCCAAGTCTACTGTTCTGTGATTCTATGATTGTTGCATATGCAGAATCTTTGCTATTAGGTCAGCTAAAAAAGATAAATTAAGGATGTTCACCTTCTCATGCTTATTAAAAAAATGTTGCAACTAGTTTAACTGAGTCAGTCATGTTTACTGGGGAGTGCTAGGCATTGTAGGTTTGTTTTCAGACTAAATTTGCAGAGAATTGTGCCCTAAATTGCCGAAATTTCATAAATAATACCTAACTTAATAATACCACAGTGCTTTTATTGAAATGCATTAAATTAGTTTAATAAATAGATCTCTTTTCCAGGGCAAACCTGAAAGGGAAAGAGATGTTTTAGGGTGTCAGATTCAGTGTACATTGCTATTAATTCTTATTTGTAATTAGCTGTAAGCTAAGATGTTACATATTCAAATTAGCTGAATAGAAAACACTTTAAGGCTCCAATTCTGTACCTACTTACAGAACTCTGAGACTTACCTCAGAGTAAGTATGTACACATATTTCTTGTGAAAGTATTAAATCTGTCTTCCAAGGTTATATGCTTATTCATTGTTCTCTGAATAAGTAATTCAAGGCTGGCTTCCTTCCTTCCTTCCTTCCTTCCTTCCTTCCTTCCTTCCTTCCTTCACCATTGTGCTTTCAAATACTAAGATCTGGTAACTCCTACAGGCAAAGGTAGGGTTTCTGCTTAATTGGGAAGCTCTCCAGATACACTTCCCTCCCAAGGGGAAAAAAAGTAAGTTGTGTGGGTTTTTTTATCTCAAGAAAACAATACTGGAAAGGCTGAGCAGGTCAATTGCCTTTTAGGGAGCATGAATTGTTGAGGGTGTCAACTAGAGAGGGGGTACCCTGGTCTCCTGAGTTCCTAACCTATAGTATCATAGGTGATCTGGGCTTTGGAGAGGGAGCAGTGTTAGGGTCAGAAAGTGCATGCCACAAGGCATAGTTCTCCTGACTACAGTTTCACCCTAACATTTATGAACCATGAGAAGGGAGAGGTAAATATAATTTCCTACTTTGCACTGTACTGCTTACAATCTGGACTAGGTAAGCTCATCCTGTTTTCTTAGCTAAATCTCAGATGTCAGCAGTATATGGTAATGGGTTATAACATACACTTCTGCAACCTGCTGAGATTCGAGTCTAGCTAAATAGGAAGCTAGTTATTTATGTCAAGAGAGCCATCATCTTACATGAACGTGCACTGCTGGGTGAAATTTCCAGGTGTTACTTTCCTTTCCATGACTCTTTGTGGATCCTGACTTGTAAGGCACAAGTAGAAAAAGGAATAATTGCAAGGTAAATGTTTGCTTCCAAGGAAGACGAATATTTAAGCATATGAGGGATTAGATTGATTTTAGTTTTTCATAGGGAAAAACATGTTTATATGTGTATACTAAAAGGAAATACAATGGATTCTTTTAGTCAATTATTACACTTGGAATAATATACTATAAATACTATTCAAGTAGGTTTTGCAGTATAAATACTATTCAAATAGGGTAGTATATCTGAACTTGGAAGGAAGGTGGCTTTGTACATTTTGCAACAAAGTATATTCTCTAGCCCTCCTGAAGAAGAATTATTCAGTAATCTCAAGGTGCTGAACTCTTTTGAGTTAAGAAATGCCATTTAAAAATTACACTGCTATTTCTGCTGCAGGAATATAGAGATTGTCTGCCTCTTACTCCCTCTCTGCTGCATGGCTTACAAGCATTTCATCTCCATGCTTGGATAAACTCCATCAAAAGCACATTATCCTCCCAGTTTTGTGGCCAGCTGCCCTAATTGTATCTGCTCTAGCTGCATGCTGTTGGAACATGATACTGACGAGGAACAAAAATGATAAATTGCTCCCTGCAGCTGATAGCAATGATGGTAACTTTTAATTTCCTTTCTGCTAAGTGAATTGGTCAGATTGCTTTTAACTGTTTTTACAAGGGGGTGTATAAATCAGTTGGGATTTACAGTGAGAACAGAAATTCAGACAAGGTGCAGGTAAATGAAAAAGCTGATATTGCCCCATGCATTCAGTCTGCCTTTAATATAAACTGGAGATACAGGATAGCTTTTAAATAAAATTTTACATGTTTGGCTGTTTTCAACATGCAGTTAAATTTGAGAGCATATTTTGTGATTACTATAAATAAAAATATGTCCTTATGTAGCAGGAGACATCTGACATGGAGCTGCAAGTATGGGACTTGTGTAAGAAATCATGGTGACAGCCCCTCCCCCCCATCTTGCACATGCAGCTCCTAGACTGGCAACGTTAAGGCTGCTGCTGATTATGTGCATGCATGTAATAGGTTTGGAAGGATTTCTAGACTGAGCCACCTTGCCCAACCTATATTTCAGTGTCAGCTTGGCCTGTGAATTGATTTCACAGGTCTATATACAGATCTATATGTTTAATAGATAGACACAGCTCTGATGTTCTGTATTTCTTGCCTCCCTTATATAGTTGACATGGTTTATGAGCAAGAGAAATCCAGTTTTTGTGCATTCTTACATTTGCTTAACCCAGGTTCTCTTTATGTGCTTAGCTGGTTCTCAAAACAATCCCCTTCCCCTCAACCAGTTCTATCTCTTGTTGAGATGCTGAGAACAGAAGGCACAATAATGACTCTACTGCAATGAACATAAAACACCCTTTTCAAGTACATGTCAAGCCAGAGCTTCAGTTATATATGACCAGTCCTGTTGTGTTCACTTTCAATTTCCTGGTGGGTGCTATTCAGAGTAGTGATCAAATGGCTCTAGCAGAGATGCTGGAGTTTATTATGTTTACTGTTCTGGAGATCTACAGATTTACTTGACGTGATGAGCTGGAGAAGGAAATGCATAAATAAATATTCCTTGTGTGCAAAATGAAACAAGATAACCATAGAAATAATTTTTAAAAGGAAACCAATTTTCAATTTTATGCCATTCTTTATTCTGAATTTTAACTCTTAAAATTGCGTAGATTTAACTGATCTTTAATTATTAAAAATAATGATAAAAGGTTGATACATTTTACATTACTTAAGCTTCTGTAGCATCATCTACTTGAGTCCTTACTTTAGGAAGGCTAGATTGTAATTTATAATATAGAATATATTCATGTATTTTATTATGAAAAATCATCTTGCTTTCATGCATAAGATTGAAGACAAGTCATGCAGAGCTCAGAAATACAGTATCAGTATAAAAACTGGAATAAAAAGAGAAAGTCAACATATGCCTTTCCCTTTGAACAAGAAAGGCCAAATATTGTTGCATCCTTGTCTAGGATCTGGGCACATGTCCACATTTTCACAACTTTCTTTCTCTAGACTTGGAACATGGATACAATTTGCATGTATATGTATATGTGTATCCTGCAATAGGCTGGCCTTGGGAGTAGCTGATGTACATTTATGCAAGGAAGTAGTGTTGGCTGACTTTAAAGAAGTGATTTGAAGAGGTGGACCCAGAGTTCTATGACTATCATATGATTACGAACATCCCCTTGTCCACTGCCCTAATTCGATCCCTGGCCAAAATGCTAACTGGTGTATCTCCAGCCTGCCTCCGGTTCAGTGGGGGCCAGGTTTGCTGGGTGTATGGCTAATTGGGAGTGGGGACATTGTGTAGGACAGTCCCTGGTGGAATTTCCAATCAGTGATGGCAAATTACTGTGAGAATTTTCTTCTCCAACCTGTACCCCATTAACCTTCAGGGACTGGGACTGGTACTTTGACCCCCCCCCCCCCAGACTGATGGACTGCACGGGCCGGCCAATTTTTGCCCTACAGTTCAAAGAATCCTAACCACTTGTCTATATGAAGCCATGGAGGGTGGTCATTACTGGTTTGAGAGCAAGGCATCGTCAGTCGGGGTTTCAAAATGATGACACTCAGCTCTCTTTCTGTTGCACCTGAGTCAACTGTAGCTATACATGCAGAGGTATCTGCATGTAGTAGTGGGCTTTGTGAAGGCCAACTACCTGCAACTGAATCTTTGTGAAATGGAACACTCTCTGGATGCGTGTTTCCTGGGACTGGCAGTTTGATAATTTACTTGTCTTAGATGGGGTTGTAGTCCCTCTTATGGGAACAGGTTCATTGGGTGGATATGATATTGGATTCATCTCTGTCACTGGAGGCCAAGTGTCCTTAGTGGCAAAGAGTACCCATCACTAGCTTTGGCTGGTACAGCAGCTGTGATAGTTCCTGGACCGGGATAGCCTGGTTACAGTGATCTGTGTGTTGGTACCTTCAAGACTGGATTGTCGTAATTGACTTTCAATGGGGCTTCCTTGACACCAGTTCGGAAGCTGCTGCTACTGCAGAATGCAGCAGCTGGATTACTCATGGAGATTCACATATGATCCCTGTGCCAAAAACTTTGTGTTTCCTGTTGATCTGTTAACTATTAAGCCATGCTCTGGATATTATTGTCAGTTGAAAAGGCCCTAGACAACTCAGCACCAGACTGTTTGAGAGACTGCCCTTTCCCTTGTAGAGCACACCATTTTTTCATTGGGTAGGGAAAGGATTGCTAAGATGGCCTGTTGATGTTCAGTTTGGCATGATGTGCAAGAGGACTTTCTCCTTTGTGGTGCTTGCTTTGTAAAATAATTTCCCCCTAAAGATTCTAACGCTGGAATATTTCTGCTCACAGCTAAATAATACCTGTTTTCTTTTCTGCTGACATTGCTAGTTACTCTTCATTATTATTTTAATGAGAAGTGTTGCCACTTTATCAATGTTTTATTTTATTGATGGTTTTATAGTTTTTTTCTTTTTGTTCAGGCAATTGCTGGATATTTTGATATATATTTTGAGAAGAATTGCAACAAAGAAGTGAGTACTTGATGGCTACATGTTCAAAATTAAGTGTAACTTATATATTTTGTCAGCTTTTTTCCTCAAGGTATTTAGAAAAAAGCCTGTTTGCTATTACAAGCATTTAATGTACTTGCATGCCCTGTGTGATCAATTAATGTAGCATGTTCTTTAATCTTGTACTTCATCGGATTTCTGAACTCTGTCATTGCAGGTATTATTCTCAACTGGTCCCTGTTGTACCAAAACACACTGGAAACAGACAGTATTTTTTCTAGAGAACCCGATTTCTGTGAAAGAAGGTATAATATTTTTCTAGATGAATGTGATTTCCTTAAAGCTATGTACTTTTAGACACCCTTTCAAAACTATTTTCTGTGCTAAAACCAAATTTTCAAAATGCCCTGTGCAACACACAAGAGTACTACATATTGCCAGCATTTCATTTCTGCCTTGGGCTGTAGTATGTACTACTGCAAAATAATGCAGTTGCACATACACAACTCAGCAGTTGAAATCACACACAGGACTAAAATTCAAATGCCCTTGAACATTATAAGAAGAATTTCTGTATGTACACAACTTGAAAATAGAAAGAGGACTGGCTAGACATTTTCTCCTTCATGTGCTGGCTTTCGAGTTACACAAAAAGGCCTTTTTTGACTAAAACTGTTCAAACTGCAACCTCTGCCATCCAGCCTGTGATAGTAAATCCCACGAAAGGCTTACATATTTAATTTGCTCATTGGGTGGCTTGACCTCTACTCTTTTATGTTGTGTCTAAAATTTGATATAATCAATCAGAAACCTGCCCTACATTTGTTGGGCAAACAAGCTATTAGACATACTATGAATCCACTTCTTATCTTGTAATAGCTCAGTCCTATGGTATCTGTCAGTTCTGTTCTTTGCTGCCTTATTAAACCTCTGAGGAAACCATCATGATGTTCATTGCTGGCCAGACTAATGTCTGCACTACCTATGCACCTGTGTGCAAGTGGGAAATTGTCTTTTGGATGAACTGGGTGATTTATTTATTTATACATGTATGCATAGGTCACCTATATCCCAAGACCTTCCTAGGTGGCTTATAGTACAACTTGTGATAACTTGTATAATGAAGGACTGTATTCCTGTCTGTTGGTTTTCTCTTATTCTTTGCAGAGATCTCTCCTTTTGAACTGTAAAGCAATGCATCCAAAAAAGAAGTTTCCATAGAACCTTATGTACAGTAAATGTTATATTGGGATCCACTGTGTCCACACAGGGGAAAGATCATGCACAATGAAGATGTGTAGGAATAGAGATGTTATTAATACATCTACCATAGAAGAGTTTGTGTGAACTATATGCGGAGACAACTATATATATATATATATATATATATATATATATATATAGTCTAAATATATAAACGTTGAGATCCCTTGGTGTCAGTGGACTCCCCATGGCCACTCCTATCTGGTAATAACACTGATCTTCAAACTAGAAGTAGAGTCTGGTTGTGCCCAGTGTCAGCAACTGTCTATTTGGAACTGTGGTTATTTTGAATCCAGAGAGTAATCCTCCCAATTCACACGTACTCCACTGTGCTAGATTATTGGGATTTCTGTATTAGTTAAGTAAATATATTGTGTATGGCCAGTGGGTTGGACTGGGTAAGATGGCCAACATTCGATCATGCAGTTTGTTCTGCCATATAAATATGCAGCAAAGAATGTGTTGTACCATAACATAACATGGCAAGAACAGTGCACATGTACAGTGGATTACCCACTTGTAATGTTCGGCAGTAACAAAACATACACTATGAATACACAATAGTTGTATTCAGTTGTTCTTTGTGCATAGACTCTATGAGGGGAACAACAGGAACACAAATACCTGCACCAGGAAAACTGACACATGAGCAGCTGCTTGTGCAAAGGCTTTTCAGAGGCAAGTACATAGGCACTGAGTGGGCAGGGTCCTTGCACAAATGAAGTCAGTGGGGCCAGTAGCACAGTCCCATCACCCCCTGTCCGCATGCAGAAGCTCAGCATGGATAAAAGCAGGGGTTCTTTTATATATGGGTGTTATAGGTTCTTGATCTTTCTAAGTGAAGCCGGGTTTTGTTGGGTTCCCTCCTACATCTAACCGAGGATGTCTGCAAGAACTGAACAGTTTCTGTGGCCATCATCTCCTATGACCCTGAAGAGTAGCAAACTGTATCACACAGTCTGGAAAGCTGCGTGTTCCTAGGCTGCTAATCTACTTCATAAATTACTTTACCTGATGTTTCTTGCTTGTTCTACATAAGTAAATGCTCAGTGGCATTTATCCGAGAACACACTTAAATGGCAGCTATCCAGATGTACTGCTACTCCTCTAAGAAGTGTTGGCTGAAGCCCTGAGAACAATCACTGGTCTGAGCATATGTACTCAGTAATATCTTCCTAAGCTAATGGTCACTGTGATTCTGTTTGTTGGTATTTCATTTCCATCTCTTATAAAACACCAGAGAATTTATTCCTTATCAGAACACTTCTTTGTTAACCCTTCAGACCAGGAAGGCCTGTGTCATTCTTATGAAAATGCTGTCTTTTCAACATAGTACAGTCTTATTCCTTAAGGAAAAAGTCTTACATTGCAGCACACAATCAAGAAGGCCCTTTTCTATATCATCACCAACTTAGAGAGTAAGCCTATGGCCCCTAGACAGTGACTCAGTGGCCATACAATACTTCAGATTCCCAGACTCAAGGCTGGTGACAGAGCTCCAACCTTGGGGCTGGAAATCTATGCTCCAATCTACTTTCTTGCAGCTGACATGGAAAAACTGTGCCAACTGCCTCTCCAAGGTTGGAAAATCAACCTCAGAGAAGGAGTCAAGGAGGTGTTCCAGGGGACAGGGAGAGACTGGGACCACCAAGTTAGAAGATACTTTGACAATCCTCCAGTGTCCTTTCTTCCCCCTTTAGAATGCCTAATCTTAAATGGCCAAAAACACTCTGCCTCTCTGAAATGCGGAGTGGGAGGTGCAGGGAGGTAGAGCTCACTGCCACCATTCTTCTTGCCCTGCTCTGGGTGCACATGAAACTCAGGAGCTTACAAACATCAAGGGTATGATCAATAAGACTGTGCCCTTAATCTAGTTAACCTATGCCTTTGATTTAGGTACTATGTTAATTTTATTTTTATTTTTATACGTGTTTATAGGATACCTTTTAGGGTAGCCCTTCCAAAGTAGATCACAAAATATTAAAGGATGAAATGTCTTAACATATTACAATCCAAAAAGATGATACAACAGTATTATGACTTTTATTTTATTATATTTATACCACTCCATTTTCATTTCAAGGAACTCAAAGTAGCTTATATAATTCTCTTCCTCCTCTCAATCTCATTCTCACAACAACAAACCTGTGAGGTAGGTTGGGCCGAGAGTCTGTGACTAACCCAAAATTATCCAGTGAGCTCCATGGCTTGCGGGGAGTCCCAGTCCCGTACTCTTAGCCACTAAACCACTGGCACTGATAGGATTAAAGAGTATTTTGTAAGATATGGAAAGCCAAAGCTATATATTCTGTTAAAGATCCAGGACCAGTTGTATACTTCCAGCAGAATAGTTACAAAAGTATGTAAGAAATCTGATTGTCTAGGAACAGATGCAGCAAAGATGCTCAGTAAAAACAGTGATAAGTTTGATTCTGGTAGGAAGAATGAGTGGAAATTCAGGAAGTATCCCAAATATATAATGATTTGCCAAAGGAAGTATAATTTGGCTGTACACCCATTTTACTGATTGATCATATTTAAACTCTTTATAGCAGAAACATCTACAGGAGCCTTTTCCTAACCTGCTGCTACTTAGATGTTTTGGACCACAACTTCCACCATTTCCAATAATTGGCCATGCTTGCTGGGGCTGATGAGAACTGAAGTCCAAAACATCAAGGAATACAACGCTGAGGAAGGCTGATTTATCTTGTTTTGTTGATTTGTTCCCTGCGCCATTTTATTCAGGATATGCAGAACACTTGTTATTTTAATCAGACATATCCGTGCCCACTGAGTTAAACATGCAGAAAAACTCTGTATTGAAACACTTAAGAAAATAGGAAAGGAATTATATATTCAAATGTAAACTGTATTCTGCACATCTAGCCTATCAGGCAAAGTCCTTAACTTCTCTGATGTGTTAGATCTTTTTCATGAAATAATGCAATTTTGTACATGCAGCCTGAGGGGAGGTAATAACCTCTAGAAATAATAGTTACTGAGAATTTTATTCTAGCCCAGCTAGTATCTGTTTTGTTCTCTACTCTGTTAGCTATCTGCTTTTTAGGGAATGTTTGTATCTTTTTTCTATTTTCATTAGCACTTCATCGTATTGGACAAATAGCAGCAGTGAAGGGAGAATTAGTAGTAACCTTAGTTACCATTAGATAACAGTGATATGAAAACGTTAAAAAAAAAATCTTGGTAGCAAAAACAACAAGAAAGAGTCATTCACTGAACTCCTGTAATATATTTCAGTATATCAGTGTTCTGGTATTTAATGGAAGACTTTGGACAAAATATGGACAAAATTTTAGCAACTGACATATTTAGTACTTTGTAGAATGCATGGAGAATCCTCTCGCCTTGCTTTGACATACATGTGAAATGGTTCCAGATAATAATAGTCATAGAATAGTTGAGTTGGAAATGGCCAGAGGACCATTAGGTCCAACCTTTCTCAGTGCAGCAGTCCAAGTTAAACCATCCCTCTCAAATGGCTGTCTGTAATAATCCAGCTCTACTGTGTTGGATCCAGAGATTTGCAAAGGAAACCAAGAGCTGTCCCTACTCAGAAGTTGAAATGATAGGAATTGACTTTATGCCAATTTCCTATCTCCCTGTTTTCTTTCAAATCTGGTCCAGAGAAATGTTGGAGAACCCTCAAGAGGTATCCAGGATCTTAGGCAAAATCAGCAGAAATCACTTCTTCCCAGTACTGTGAATGGTTTTCTTCCACAAGCAGAAGGGTTCTCAAAAAGGAGACCTGCAGGATCAAAGCCATTTTTACAGTTACTTTAGAATTAGGTCCTACAACCAGATTCTAAAATAAGGTAAATCTTGTATATAGCATTATTTCTTAATTTGTAATTAAATATTCAAAATGGCATTCATACTGTAGGATCCCTTCTTTTCATATGCTCTTGGTTGAAAGGATGTACAGTCCAGTATGCAGTGCAACATTTGCAACTTAAAGGTTTTTGCTTTGTCCAGAAGGAGTATCTACAGCGCCACTGCAAGATTACTTGACTTTGCACTG